AAAGGCTTATAAATGCATGTAATTTTGCTCACTAGTTTGTAAGTAGGTTGGATGGTTCTGCGGATCTCACGTGGGCTGAGCTGTCCTCGGATGGCTCTGCTCATGTCTTTGCAGCCTACTGGTAGGTCTGCAAGAAGTTGGCCTCAATGGCCTGACTGGCTGAATGGTGGCTATGGAATGAACATGTTTGGGCCAAGTTGGACACATAATCTAGCAGGCTAACCTGGAGTGGTTCACATGGCAGAGCAGAATTTCAGCAGAACAGCAAACACATATAGAGCTTTGAGGCCAAGCCTGCGTAGGACAGATTGTCACTTCCAACACGTGCTATTGCCAAATCCCGTCACAAAGCCAGTTCAGATTTAATGGTGGACAAAAAGACTTCACCTCTTCATGGGACTTGCTGCAAAGTCACATTACAAGGAACGTAGATACAGGAAGAAAAATTTTCTTCTATTTTTAGCACCCATCGCCCATTCTGTCTCATCTACTCCAAGTTGGCTCTCGAAGGTATTTTCACAAAGACAGTTTCCTCCATAGGGAGAACTTATGGTGCTAACTCTTCATATAATAAAAAGTTTTTTTTTTTTTTCCAACACATTAGAGAAACATGACTCAACTTCCTTTAAAAGAGACAATCACAGAGGTCAGTTTACTTGTTATCTTGTGTCCTGTTTCTGCAGGAGGGGAAGCTGAGACCTAAGACCTACTCCTCTACAAACCTAGACACCGCCTTCCCCTGAGGAAGGATAGACTGAGAAAAGTCCGAGGGCACTCAAAGTGCTTGGAAAATGGAATTGAAAAGTAATTTTATTGTGGTGCAAAAAAAAAAAAATTCTCCTCTCCGAAGCGAAAGAAAAGAAAAGGAAAATCTGAATTCCATGCCTATTCAAAAAGCTCTTCAAAAAGTTTATGGAAAATCTGTGTTATAAAAAAGTATGGATTTCAAAAATCTTTTTGTGCCAAAATAAACTTACACTCTAATTTCTTTTTTTCATGAACATTGTGAAGTTCCTTCATAGATGAAGAACGTGAAGAGATTCTATGGGGCTCAGAGTGCTACTGTACAGCTCTCCTACGGGTGGTTCATGAGGTACAAAGTGGTGGTTTGTGGGTCTGAAGACCAGCGTAGCAGCACTTTGTAGAGTTGTGAAGGAATGTTGAAACATTTCATCTTCTCACTCTTCTTCTCTGCTTCCTTGCTTGAAGCTTGACATAAAAGTAAGTATTAAAGATTTAAAGCCATTAAGGTGCCATTTAGGATACAAAGGTCTATTAAAATTTTTCTATTAATATTGCATATTCTCTGTTTAATAATTGAATTTGAGTATTGTATAAAAGAAAATTGTTTGAGTTTGAAGTATGGTTAGGAATTAATAAAACTAGTTTTATAAGCCATTATAAATACTCTTAGTGCATTTGATGTAAACTATTTAAAGGTCTTTGTTAAGACTAAGATATACCCTTTGGCTTAAGAAATAATTCAAAGAGGATGTAGGCAAATTGGTTTTCTCATAGATAAAGTATAGCAAACTTATTGAGAAACAATTTAGCTATAAAATATTCAGCTAAAAATCTGTCCCACTAATTCATATTCTGATTATATATAGGAAATATATCTAAATATGTAAATAAGATGTGTTTGCACATATTATGCCCTGAAAAATAAATTTGTTATTATGAAAAAGTATACCATGACACAGAATTTAAATCTAACTTTTGTTAGGCTGAATAAATTACCCATAATTAGGAATATACCACTAATTTTCAGATACCTACTCATGCCTGGCTATAGTGAACCTAACATTTTTCTATGGTGAGAGATAGTTCTCAATAAATTAATAAATTAGTCAGTCTAATCATTCATCACTATTTATCTTGTTTTCTATCATTTATTTACTCACCCATTCATTCACACACTCATTTATTCAACTCTCATTGAGGCCCTACTTTGTGCCAAGGACTATTCTATGTATTTTTAATAGCTTACAATTAATTATTACTCCTACATTTTATATATTACGAAATAGAAGCTTAGGAAGTTTAAATAAATTTCCTAAACTAGGAAAGCAGTGGAAAATGGCCCAGGTGCTTGGGCCCCTGCACCATGTGCGGGACCTATAAGAAGCTCCTGGCTCCTAGCTTTGGATCAGCTCAGCTCTGGCTGTTTTGGTCATTTGAGAGGTGGACCAGCAGATGGAAAACCTCTCTGTAACTGTGGTTCACTCCCTAAATGGTCACAATTGCCAGAGCCGGGCCAATCTGAAGCCAGGAGCCAAGAGCTTCCTCTAGATTCCCCAATGGGTACAGGGGCCCAAGCACTTGGGCCATCTTCCACTGCTTTCCCAGGCACATTAGCAGGGAGCTGGATCAGAAGAGGAGCAGCCGGAGAGTTGTCTCTCTTCACTCTGTTGCTGTAACCCACAGGACCTGTCCTGGCCCTTTCCTCCCTGCCTGTGCATCTGCCAACCTCCACGTGCCCTCTACTAAGGATTCATATCAAGACACAAGAGCGTATTTCCAGACCCGTCCCTAGCCATCCACGACTCAATACCTCATTTATGATAGGAAACAAGAGCACGTTCTTTATCAACATCATTAGGGTGCCTAAGGTATAGAAATGATATTTAAATTTCTTTCAAACATCAGTAGCATCAAATTAAACTGATCCATGTAAAATCACTTTAAATATTAAGGGCTCTTTAAATGTAAATATTGATACAGTAAGACAATAACATATTGTATCTCTGGAGCCTATCGTGGATAACATAAAAGAGTATTGAGAGTAGAAGTGTTCCTACTAGCAACAGCACAATATCGAAGTGAGATTAAAAAATTGAGAATCTGACAGTGTTATGGGAAATTTCCCTGGAATAAGGAGAAGCTAGACATTTAAAACTACAATCAATATTTAGAAGCACTGTTATAAACACAACGTCAAGGAGACATGGTAGAGTCTATGGATGAGAACAGAAGACTTGTTACGCAGAGTTCCTAAAACCGTTTTTAGAAGGATCTGTGGAGGTCGTGTTTGCAGTCTATGGAGCTCATTCTTCGGGCACGAAGCCTCCGTAAACATACCCTTCATGGGAACCTAGGAGAGCTGCTTGTCCCTTGGAATGAAGCTTCTATGGACAAAACCCCATTTCTCAGGGTAAGATGTGGTTTTGAACATCCTGGAAAAATACACCTACACCTGATTCATTGGAGCAGCTCCTGCCAGGATAGGGTTTCAACCCGGCTTGAACTTGCAGCCCAGATGTTCCCCCAGCACACAGCACATCCCCTGGGCTCTAAGGAGTCACTCACCATGCCCCACAATCCAAACAAAAGCTTCTTTGTGAAATGGGAAGAGAGCATCAGGTTGCGCTCCCAGCCCAGCTGCCAATCCCTCACAGCTTGGGACCTCTCCTACTCTCCCCAGGGCTCTATCAAAAGTTTAGCAGAAATATTTGCCTCTAGGCATTGCCTGTGTCAGAAACCTGACAGCCTGCTTTTATATATATTTTGTTACACTCAAGTATGAGTACCATTTTAGGGGATAAATAAACACATAAGATGAAAAGTCTATTAGCTTTGCTTTGTGGACCTTTCTCTTGTTGCTACTGCTGTTTTGTTGGTTTGCAAGGCACAGCCGTTAAATGACTTTATTCCGCTTTCCAGAGTGATTTATTTCAGGAGTAGTTAAGAGATTAACAGTGATAGTAAGGAGGTAGGGAAGGTGGATGATTTTGGTATCTGGCAAAAAGAAGCAGAGCTTTGTCTGTGCCCCAGACTCAAGAAGAGTGAGAGGGAGTATCTGAACGCTCTCTCTGATCTCTTCACCTCCTCTTTGTGACTGATTAGACCAGAGACCCGAGCGTGAACAGAATCATGCAATAAATGTGGCCATATCTGTCCTCTTTCTGATCTCTGTTTCTTGGATTGGTTAAATTCCAGGATGCAGCAAACTATATACAGGCTCTATGGCTTGAAACTACAGGTTTTTCATTCATAGCTCCATAGATAGTCTAGATGGTTCTTTTGATGTTGTCTTTTTCTTTTTTATTTTTATTTATTTGAAGTACTGAGTTACAAAGAGAGAGAGGAGAGAGAGAGATGTCTTCCATCCGTTCACTCCCCAAATGGCCACAACAGCTGGAGCTGAGTCAATCTGAAATCAAGAGTCAGGAGCTTCTTCCAGGTCTTCCACATGGGTGCAGGGGCCCAAGGACCTGGACCATTTTGTGCTGTTTTCCCAGGCCAAAGCAGAGAGCTGGATAGGAAGTGGAGCAGCAGGGACTAGAACCAGTGCCCATATGGGATGCCAGTGCTTCAGGCTGGGGCTTTAATCTGTTGAGCCACACTGCCGGCCCCTTGAGGTTGTCTTGACTCCCTATTACATCAGCAGCTGCAGTTCGGAAGTTGCGCTCCTCGTGGCTGAACAGTGTCACATGTCTGGGAACGCAGCCTGCTAAAGTTGGTTGCATCTAACTACTGGGGTCTTCCCCTTGTAGTTTCTCATCTGCCAGCAATGTAACCCAGGCTTCCTCACTGGGCAGTCACAGTTTTGAGACAGAGTGGGAGAGGAGGATAAGCTTCTTAGAGCCAATATGCAGATCTGGCACACTGTCACTTCACACACATTTTATTGATCACTCGGAACACAAGGCTAAGCCCAGAAGCTGCTGTGAAGACACAAGTACAGGGTGTGGGCACAGGGGACGTGGAAAATTGCCGTCATACTCAGGTGGTGACTCAACCCTAGAAGAACCCTAATGTCCAATGCCTGCCCTAGAGCTGAGGGTGTAAGTTCAAATTGGAGTGAGATAGGAGACCCGGCTTTCCTAGCACATGATGTATTTTGATTCACACTTGGCCTTATGTCCATTGATTAACTAGTTAGGACCCATTAACAGAACTGAGTGATTAGGCTCTCCCTAACCTCCAATACTTATAAAGAAAAATAGTGCAAAACTTCAAAGGAGATCAATGGTCCTTCGTGCTAACTGGTGCCTTTCACACCTGGATGATTGCCAAAGAACCATATCAAGTTCACTGTCTCTAGTTCTTGCCTACTTGGTTCTGATAGTTGGCTCTCTCCTACTGAGCCTGTATTATTCAACCATAGCACTCATCCCTTATTAAAATGCCTATTTGGGGCTGGCATGGTGCAGCAGGTTAAGCCACTGTTTCCAATACCAGAATCCCATATCGGAGCTCTGGCTTGAGTCCCATCTGTTCTGTTCTGACCCAGCTCCCTGCTAATGCACCTGGGAAAGCAGTGGAAGGTGACCCAGGTACTTGGGACTCTGTCATTCACATAGGAGACCTGGATGGAGTTTTGGGCTCCTGGCTTCAGCCTTGTGCAGCTCTGACCATTGCAACAATCTGGGGAGTGAACCAGCAGATGGAAGATCTCTCTGTCAGTCTCTCTCTCATTCTGTCACTCTTCCTTTAAACTAAATTTAAAAATCATAAAAATAAATTAAAAAAATAAAGTAAATAAAATAAAAAAGTAAATAAAATATTTATTTACTTACAAACTCCCACATCAGATCAAAAGTTCTATGTAGGCAGAGATTACACTATTGATTTATCACTTTTTTTTCCCCAACAACTGGGACAAAATCCATGCTTCTGATAGTAAGTACTCAGAAAAAAATTGGCAAATGAATGAATAGAGCAATGGATAAATGACTAGTTAAAGGTGCTGCTGAACTTGGATATTTAGCATCCCTCCAATGAATTTGGAAACTAGGTGCATACAAGGTAGGCAGGATTCCTCATGTTAAAAAATAAAAATTACAGGGGCTGGTGCTGTGGCGTAGCGGGTAAAACCGTCACCTACAGTGCTGGCATCCCATATGGGTGCCGGTTCGAGTCCTGGCTACTTCACTTCCAACCCAGCTCTCTGCTATGGCCTGGGAAAGCAGTAGAAGATGGCCCAAGTCTTTGGGCCCCTGTACCCACATGGGAGACCTGGAAGAAGCTCCTGGATCCTGGCCAATTGGGGAATGAATCAGCGGATGGAAGATCTCTCCTCCCTCTCTCTCTCTCCCTCTCTCTCTCTCTGCCTCTCTTTCTCTCTCTGTGTAACTCTGACTTTCAAATAAATAAACAAATCTTACAAAAAAAAAGAAATAAAAAATTGCAAATATTGTCTCACCTTGTATGCTGAATCTAAACCAAAAGCCAAATAGATCAAAGAGCTCAGCAATAAATCCTATAGTGGTGATATTTTGTAAATAAATAATTGGTATCTATGACCTGTTAGCCTTGAGCACAATGAAGAGGGGCATAGTATAGGATGAGAATAAGGGTGACTCATACAAGTCTTGCTTAGAGTCTAACTCTACTTCCCTATGAGAAACATAAACCCAGGTGCTGAAAGTGCCTCTGCCTTCAGCCAGGCCATCAGAACCAGCCTGGCCCTTCTGTGCCCCTCTGCCAGCAGTGGTTCTCCCAGTGCCTCAGTGGTTCAGTTCTTATCCCTTCATTTTTATCTGACAGAAGAAGACCAATGGGTGTGTTTGAGATCTTTCATATAAATCTTTATTCAATGATAGGTTCAGATACTTGCATGTCTTTTTGCTATAGGTAATCTACTCAAACATACTCCTGATTTGAGTGAATCCTATGACAAGCATAGGGAAGACAGGAAGGCCTAGTATCGGGCTGACATCTGTCCAAGGTGTAGAAAGTAAGTTGATGCCGGGCCAAGGTCTGTTGTTCCTGGCACTTCAGTCTGTACGCACTGCATCTGAGCTGGCCATGTGAGGGGAGGCCCTAGAGCAGTGGACAGGAGGAAAGGAGAAGGACTCGGGAAAACTTGAGGTTGGTGATTCCCAAACTCCCAGTCTAGAAGTTCTATTTTGCCAGAATTGGACTGGGCCAGAAATTGGCACTTTTACCTGTTACACAACCATTGGTGATGCTCTGACCCCATGTTGAAAATATTAGTAAGAGGATCCTAACCTGGTAATTACCTAGTTAGCTTTTTTGTGTGTGTTTGCCTGCTAAAGTATAATGCTATTTCCAAGAACATTTCATGGGAAGAAGCAATTGAGGGAAAACATCAGTATTTTCCACAGGTCTTTGAATTGTAGCTCTAAAGTTGCATGTCTATATTTTAATTCAGTTAGAAAATTAAGTCAATTAAAATGTGTCAATTTTGATATATTTGATATGACATTTATCCAAATTAAGTCAGCATATCTTTATTCAAAACATTCATTAGTCTGGCAGTTGTCTTTTTAACATTTCCTGAAAGCATAGAATAGTTCCTCAGACTCTGAAAGGCTAGGGGATCCAAAGAAAATGAGATTTAGGCTGCTCCTAAACCAGGACTGCGACAGGAGTTATATCATGTGTGCTACAGTGATGAAAGGTTGAGTTTGGTTTGGTCTTCTGTCCTTGACCACTTACTACTCATGATAATATCTGTGATGAGGTGCTGGGGAGATAACCCCATCAGCATAGCACTGGGGAGAAGAAAGGTAGTGTAGGATTCAGTGACTTCTGGGAGAGAGATGATGAGACGGCTTTAAACTTACAACTGACTTCCAAGTCACGCAGGTTCAAACAGAAAGGAGGCAAGCTTGCCCCAGAGAGTGAAGGAATACCCAGGGGGATGGAGTTTCTCCTCGATTGGGGACCTACCGAGGTGCCTAAGGCTAGTGCTAAATTCATGGTTATCTGATAGAGGTGGAGAACACTTACAAAGAACCAAAGCACCATGTATTTTGAACATGAAAGATGCTGTACTGTCTTGGGAAAGGGAGCATGAAAATGAAAATTGTACTGAAAGTTTACTGAGAAAGTGATGCACAGTGTGGTTGAGGGGAGGGAAGGCTCTAGATTGGGGAGGCCTTGGTTTGTGCCCCTGAACAAGCTGTGTGACCGTGAACAAGTCCCTATTGCTTATGTGAGTATAGTGACCGAGGACTAAACAAGATCATCTGTACTGCTGTGCTTAGCACAGAGGGAGCAGACGATAAATACGAGCTCTTATTAGTAGTAGCAGCAGCGGTGGCACTAATGGTCATAGGAACTCAGAGAGGAGCCACTGACGCTATTAGCATCACTATTTGCCAGACTTATATGGTCTACTTGCGAGAGGGCAGCCTAAGCAGCCAGGGAGAGGCTCCTCTGTTGACTTTCGGGGGAGGTTTCCACGTTTCTAGCACGGAGTCTTGCCTCTTCGTACTATGGCGACCTAACAGAGTTCTTCGGAACTGCCTTCCCGCCATGCGCTGACATGGCCATCGTCTTTGAATCCCCAGCAGCTCTGCCCACTCTAGCAGGAGGGACTTCTTTAACTCCAAGCATTCTCTTTCTAGGTCGATCCAAATTACCTCGAATCTGTAAAAATCATGGGGACTGATGGAGTAAAGTAAGATTTCTCGCCTACAGTCCATATAATAAAGTTACATTTTTCAAATATTTCTTGGCATAATTTTATTTGAGCTCTGCTTTTCCTGTGCATTCTCCATATGAGTGCCATTATGTGGTATTCACCTGCCTCCAGGTGAATGACTTGGTGAGTCATTTAAGCAGTAAACATCCTTTGAGGCCGATGGGGTTATCGCTCCCATTTTATGGATGGGGAAACTGAGAGTCAAATCAGTTCAGTAACTTGCCTAAAGTCAGATAGCTGGTAAATAACAGAGCCAAAATTCAAATTAAGTGGCCTGGCTCTGAGTCCTTTCTCATATCCACTCTGCTGGCCAGACGCAGGACTGCCATGGGTCTGAGCCATATCACTGCCCAGAACAGGAGGCCTGTTGGTCACTCTCACACTCCTCATCTGGGTTAGAGCCAGCCCAGGAGTCACGTTGTGAAGTGTTTCCTGCTTCTGTAACTCATTCTAGTCTGAGTTTATTGGAAGCCAGTCAGCATTGCAAAGGGCCTAAAATGTGCCTCCTTCTCACCTACTTTTGGTGACCTGTGCAATCTTTGTGTCAGGCCTCACAAGGCTGCCAGGTGAAAGGGGCCTTGGAGCCCGCGCCAGCAGCTCTGCAACAAATACTGCTCTTGCGTCTCCCCTGGAAGATGCGGCTCTCAAGTCTTCCCCAGCTCACCTTCCCGCAGCCTGAGCAGCCAGCCCGGCCTCCTTGGGGGCTGGGTTTCTAAAGGTTGTTCTGGCAGCCGGAACACAACAGCTGCTCGGCAAGGCGATGATCCAGCAGCCCCAGACGGGGAGGGGGGCAGCAGGTCCTGATGCCCGGTGCCAAGCCCAGCACCCACCAGCTGCCTGCCTCCCCTCTCCAGTGGAGCAGGAACCGTGTTAACCCTCTCAGCACCAGCAAAGTCTCAAGGAAGGCGTTGGGCCTTCCAGAAGCTAAGTTCCTGGTAAGCACTTAGCAAGTAACTCAAACTCACCCGGGGTGTTTCACCAGTGGTCTGGCTTCTCTGGCTGTGAGGCTATTCTTCTGAGCTTGTTTTTTTTTCTCATCTTGTTTCTGAATCAATCCTGTGACCCTTTTAGCCAGCATCCTGTAAACCATAGCCATTTGCACTACAGTCTAACCAGTAACTTACAATGAAGAGACAATATGCATTATAGCAAGGTAAGTGGATTCCAACATGTAGAGGAATCTGCAGTGACCAGAGTGCCCCTGACTGTGTCCATTCTCTATCTTTGCACAGTGTCATTAGCATTCTCGGCCACCACAAAACACGAGTAAAGTGCAGTAAGATCCCAGTCTTTGGTCGGCAGAGAGGGGAAGGCCTCATCCCAGCTAGTGATCCTATAACAAAAGGATGGAATTGGGACTTCTGGATTCCCATACCAAGACCCAGTCCAGACTAAGCCTTTGCCGTGGGGGGGGGGGGGGGGGAGGCCCTCAAAGACAAGAAGCCCTTAAACCAAGCAGAAAACAAATAAAACAAAACAACACAGACACAGATGCAGATGTAGACATGAATAAATAAAGCAGACAAATCCACATATGGGAAGACTCCCCGTCCTGGTCCCAGGAGGCAGGCTCCCCGAGGCCTTGCAGATGTCAGAACAGAATCGGCTTGCTAGTTTCAAGTTGTGCAAAGCCAGTGCCTACTGTTCCTCTTGAAACCACTGTGCATGGAGTCCCCTATCTCTGCTTTGAGAGAGGGAGGGCTTTCCACAACAACATGGCTCTGGATCCCCTTCGTTACATGGGATTGGCCCCTAGTGGGTTTTTTTAGTTATTCTTCCAGCTGTCAGCTGAGTTGAGAATTCGCGCAGTACCAGTGGTGTCAGTGGAGGTGACACTGGGCCAGCCTGGTTGCTGGGCCAGAAAAGAAGGAATTTAGGACTAAAAGATCTGTGTGTTGCGGAAGGAGGGAGGGAAAAGAAGACAGAGGCAGAATCAGAAACACAGATAGCGTCCTGTGTCAGCTTTTGTGAAGGCGGGGCTAACACAACCTCCGTGAGTATTCTCTTACAAACACAAGCAATGATCACCTCAAACAATGGTCAGGTTTCAGTTTTCTGTCATCAATTGCAATTGTTAGTGTCAAAAATGAGTTTTATTCAATATTAAAGGAGGATTTTTAAGGAGAAAAAACGTACAATCACACCATACTGGCACAGCAGTGATTTCATACTTTTGTTTTCCATTCAGTTCATACATATGTGAGCATGTATTTCAAATAACTGTAAGCAAATTCGTGTCCTTTACTCTTTATTGCCTTTTCTTTAACGCCAGTGCTTGCATATTTTTCATGCTTCAGGAGTCTTCAGAGTGACCAGTTTTTAATTTGACACAGAATTTTCCAATGAATGGAAATTCTACCACTGACTAAACCGTTCTATTGCCATCAAATGTTTAGCTTGTGTCCATGAACCATATGTTCTCTATGAAGCCAAGTTTTGATTTTGGTGAATTATTTCTTTGGGACAAATTCCATTACATTGTACCCCATAATGATGTACAAATATTATCTATCAATTAAAAAAACTAATATTTTGTGACTTTTGTTATATAGTCATGCTATTTCCATAAAATTTTATATTGATTTGCAAAATAATATAATCACAGGAATGAACCAATCTTATAAAAATTTCACCAGCTTTGGACATCACAGACTTTTTAAAAAAATATACACACATTTAAAATGTTCTCCAGTCCATACCACATATTATAATATCCAGTATAATTCTCATACAAAAGAAAATATCTCCAGGCATCACACTATGTGACTTCAAAATACACTACACGATTCTAACCAAAGCACATGATGCTAATTGAAAAGACACACAAACCAATGGAGCAGAATAGAGAGCCCAGAAATAAATCTACACATGTAATAAATACAGCAGAATAGGGGCCCAGAAATAAGTCTATAGACAACCAGTTTTCAGCAAAGGTATCAAGAAGAACATACATGGGCCAAGAACAGTCTCTTCAGTAAGTGGTATTGGGGTGACACATAGAAGTGGGGGAATTAAACCCTATCTCTCACCGGAAACAAAAATCAATCCAAAATAGATTAAAAACTAAAATTTAAGACCTGAAATTACTAGACCAAAACATAGGGGAAAAACCCCATGACATGGGCAGTTACTTTGTGGGTATGATCTCAAAGACAGACAACAAAAGCAAAAGTAGACAAATGGAATTGTATCAAATTGAAAAGCTCTGCGGCAGGCGCTGTGGCTTATTAGGCTAATCCTCTGCCTAGCGGCGCTGGCACACCAGGTTCTAGTCCCGGTCGGGGCGCCGGATTCTGTCCCGGTTGCCCCTCTTCCAGACCAGCTCTCTGCTGTGGCCAGGGAGTGCAGTGGAGGATGGCCCAAGTGCTTGGGCCCTGCACCCGCATGGGAGACCAGGCTCCTGCCATCGGATCAGCGTGGTGCGCCTGCCGCAGCGTGCTGGCCACGGCGGCCATTGGAGGGTGAACCAACGGCAAAGGAAGACCTTTCTCTCTGTCTCTCTGTCTCTCCCACTGTCCACTCTGCCTGTCAAAACAAAACAAAACAAAACAAAAATCTCTGTGTAAAAAGGGGGGTGGGATCACCAGAGTGAAGAGACAACCTACAGCCTGGGAGAAAATATTTACGAAGTGTCCACTCCTTATGAAAAAGTTTATATCCAAAATAGAGAGACAGAGAGAGAGCTCAAACATCTCAACAGCAAGGGAAAAAAACCCTAATTTTTAAATGGGCAAAAGACAGGAATGGCTATTTTCCTAAAGACAATAAGCAAAAGGCCAATAGGTATATGGAAAACACTCAACATCACTAATTATCAAGGAAATACAAATTAAAACCACATTGAGATATCACTTCACTCCTGCTAGGATGGCTACTTTAAAAACAGACAAAGGACAAATGTTGGTAAGGATGTTTAGAAAAAGGAATGCTTGCACACTGTTGGTGGGAATTAGTACAACCATTATGGAAAAAGTAGGATGTTTCTCAAATATTTAAAGTAGAACCACGATGTGGCCCAGCTATCCCACTCATGATACATACTCAAAGCAAAGCAAATCAGTAAACTGAAGAGACACTAGCTCTCCCATGTTTATTGGAATGGCTGACAACATTCCAGGTATGCAGTACATGGGATTAATGTATTAACATGTAAAGGAATTAAGAAAAGGTGGTGTCTGCATTTGCATACACACACACACATGCAATGAAATACTATTCAATCACAAAAAAGAATGAAATACTGTCATTTTCTACAGCATAAGTGAACCTGGAAGACATTATCTTAGGTAATAGATAAATGCCAAGGTAGAGTGGGAGCACCTGGTACTGGGTTGGTGAGATTCAATCACGCCAAAACTTCCCCTCCCTCACTTCCAATGACGTCACATTGCCAACTTGAAATTAACCACAATGGAAGCATTTATTCTACTCTGTTGTGTTGTGTTTTCTGGATTTTTTTTAAACATCCGGTTGCTGAACATTTTCCATTGCACTAATGTCTTTGGAGTACCTATTTCTGAAGACCAAGGAGAAGTGAATTCTATGTCTCCCTGGAGATGGAGATTTTAGCTTTGTCTAGTTTAGATCTACTGAACATCTCTGGCAAAAAACAAACAAACAAACAAACAAAAAAACACCAAAAATCCAAACAAAACAAAACTCCAAACCTCTAAACTTATACCATAGTAAAATGTGACATCTCCTGAGCGCTTGTGGCCAAGCAGTGTGCAAAAATTTTGCATGCATTGCATCATTTAATGATTACTGCAACATTAGTGGTATTTCCACTGAAGAGTGGGTTGGATAAATAATCCATAGAAGGGAGTGGCCGGCGCCACGGCTCAATAGGCTAATCCTCCGCCTTGCGGCGCCGGCACACCAGGTTCTATTCCCGGTCGGGGCGCTGGATTCTGTCCCGGTTGCCCCTCTTCCAGGCCAGCTCTCTGCTGTGGCCAGGGAGTGCAGTGGAGGATGGCCCAAGTGCCTGGGCCCTGCACCCCATGGGAGACCAGGATAAGTACTGGCTCCTGCCATTTGATCAGCGCGGTGCGCTGGCTGCAGCGCGCCGGCTGTGCTGGCCATTGGAGGGTGAACCAACGGCAAAGGAAGACCTTTCTCTCTGTCTGTCTCTCTCTCTCACTGACCACTCTGCCTGTCCAAAAAAAAAAAAAAAAAAGGGAGTGGCAGAGTTGTGATCTGAAAAACCACCTAGTCTGTACCAGTGGATCAGCAAGTGTAAATTCACCACTCACTAGAAATTTCATTAAGCCATGGCATCTAAGAATTCCATATTGGACACACTCTTTACAATGAGATTATCATGATCTTCTAAGGAAATACGTGGCATTTCTAAAATCTGTTTAAACTAGCCTAAAGCTTGTTGTTAACATAAGTCAATCATCCAAAATAAATCTATTAAGACTTTTTCCATGTCCAGGATGCTTTTCCAGGAACAGAGGTTAATAAATAACCAAAGTTAATAAAGAGAAACATAGGAACTGACGTCTGGTCGTAAGGATTTGGCAGGCTTCACTGTGAGAAGTTGCTTGAAAGGCCATTCCTATCCCAAGACAAGTGTTTTGGAAAACTCCTCAGTGTCTGAAGTCCCTGGGAGCCAAGGTGTGCAAGGAAGCTCTCCAAATCTCAGATCATCTGTACAGCAGGACCACAATCATAGCGTTGCCTTAGAGCTGTTTTGTGGGGATCAAATGAGACAGTGCATTTATAATCTTATCTCAGAGCCAGGTGAATAATAGGAATCTTATCATTCATCACTTTCCACTGACATTCACCAATAGTTTTGGAATTTTAATGATAGTTCAATAGGATGAGAAGTCTATGGAGGTCACAGCAACGACAGAACAACATTAAACCATATGGAAGGGAGACAGATTTGAAACAGCCCTTCGTTGTTTCAGCACATTTTGAACTCGTGAGGAAACACAACATTGTTCTTAGGAGCAAAATCGGCTTGAACTCTGGCTCTGCCACTTTACAGGTATGACCTTACAGATTAGGGTCTTGAGTCTTGTAATAATAGCCAGGGCCGTCCTGTCAAGACAGAAGTCAGATGAAGTGGTGCATGTGATCAAAACTCTCTGGTGGGTCGCCACTGCACTCAGTGAACAGTCTATGCTGGACAGCAAGGTCCTGTGATCTGGTCCTGTTCTTCCTCTGGCTTCCTTCCTTATCACTCCTTGAATCAGCCCTTCTGTTCCAGACACATTAGCACCTGCGCTGTTGATGCTGCCTCCAGGCCTTTGTACTGCTATTCACAGTACCTGGAAGCCTTTTTCCAAGAAACTACCATGATTCCTTCCTTCATTTACTTTAAGCTCTGCTTAGACGTTGCTATCTCAATGAAACACACACTGATCTCTTTAAAATTGCAATCCGCTACCCCTGTCCACTATGACACTCCAGGTAGCTGTCACTCTGATATCTAATTACATTTTCCTACTACTTCTCATTACTCAACACTCTATGTAAATTGCCTGCTTGCTATGCTTACTGCATTTTTTTCCTCTCACTAGAACATAATCTCCATGAGGGCAAATGATCTTTGTCTATTTTGCATGTTGATGTATTGCAAGTCCTAGAAAGTGGTCAGTACATAGCAGACACCCAGGAAAGAGTTGCAGACTGAAGAATAAATTTTCTTTAACCTAAATAAATCTCAACTCACTCTTCTTTGAAATAGGAATTATTATAGTACTCATCTTACAGGATTACTTTGAGAATTAGCGGAGATGATACATATAAAATATTGGCACAACTCTTGTTGCCTGATAATCACAAAATACCTTTTACACTTATTTTTATTTTTAATATCACTTATACTATCTCAGATAAAATCACTAGTGGGAAAGTAGCTCCTATCTTTGTCAAAGGTTGTTTTAAAAAAAAGGAGAAGAAAATTAGTCAATAGTGGTTGTTAGGATCAAGAACATGACTATCAGGGACAGAATGCAAATGTTATCCAGGCCACAAAGCTGTCAGCTTGTGAATCAGAGAGTGAAGCTAAAGCCTGCGCTTCCTGGATGCCACAAGACGTCTTTGCCCTGTGCCCTGTGCGTTTCCCCAAGCACTCGCCCATCCCTGCACCCTTCTCAGAAGGTTCACAGTTCCCTCTTCCCCAGAAATTTTGAGGCCGCTTTGCTGTGTCTGACCTTGTTTTCATCTTTTACCATTCTTACCTTTGTTCTACATCACACTCCCCATTATCCACTAATTCCGTGGATCAAATCTGTATTTCCAGGAGAAAACACATGGCTGATCTTGTTTAAACAGCGTCCACCCATGTCCCAGGGAGAGGTCTACCTCTACCCATAGCTGTTGGGCTGTTGAGGGGGGATAGGCAGGACGATATGGAATCTGTGGGAGGTAGAGAGGGAGTAGCTGCCATAGTTTCCATGACAGCAGTGTAGCATAGTCCCCAAGAGTCCAGAGTGGCTGTGTGACCTCACGCAAGTCGCTTAACCATTTGTGCTGTTTCATCACTCACAAATGGGATAATGAAAGTCATAGTAAGACCATAATAATATCCTATGGGGTGGCTGTGAAACAATGAGCTGAATTCTGCAAGTGATTTAAGAAATAGGCAAAGGTGGGTGTACATGTGAACATGCTTCCATAAACCTCCTCTGAAAAGCCAAAGAATACACCCACAGTGGCCAAGCACACACAGCCGGCAGCCAACACGTACCTACAAATATAAGAACCAGATCTTCTCTTTGTCTGCACTCTCTGCGTGGCCCTTCTAATGAACTGACACCCAGATATGAACCTCGAGAATCCGGCGAGCAAGGCCCCTACTTTCTGCTGCTCTGAGATGAATACATCTCTCGTTCCCTTCCACTCTTATGGGAAAGAACAGGCCTTTGAGTTGAACCGTACTCATTATTGGGATCTACACACTGACTCATCTCTCCCACCAATATCCCTCACAGATCACACAGTTCTTTTCCTTCTCCTCAGTTCACATCCTTCATCTGCGAACCACTGCCCTGTGCCCCAGACCTCTCTTTCTGGCTTAAAACTTAGTCTCTGCTCCTGCAGGCCATTAATGGCTTCACCGGTGCCACTTCTGCCAGCTGTTCCTGGAATGGTGGTTTCCCCAGGCCTCTGAATGCCACTATCCAAAAATTGTAACCCTGAAAGGAATCAGAGGTCAGACACCGTCAATCCACCCGTGCTTGCCTCTTAGCAGATGGCAGTCAGCCCCTGGTGGTCTTCCTGCTGGCTGAGGTGCATCTGTGACATGCACACCAGCTCATGGTGTTTCACGGCCGCCTTTATTGTCAACAGGTGGGTGTGGTGTCCTCTATTGCTTAGCTAACAGAGGTCAAGTCTGGATACTCTAGAGACTGAGAAGTGATTGAGACCTCCACTGCTGACCCCCAGGCTGCAATTAATCAGAGCCAAATGCCAATTTAGGACCTGGCCATTCAAATAGACAGTTAAGCAAAGGGAGCAATTAGGAGTCAGGATCAGGGTACTTGGCCAGGGTTGGACGTATGGAGGTCAGGGCCTGGGGGAAGCACAGGCTAGAAATGGAATTCAAGGTCAGGAGTGTAAGAGAATGGAGCCTGGATGTCAATCAAACTGAAGAACACAGGGGAGTCAAGTGAACAAAGGTAACAGTGACAGATGTTTGGTTCATAAGCTGGGAAAGTGCAGAACCAGAAAGAACGGAGCCCCAGCACAAAAGAGGGACTGGGACCCACTGGCCTGTTGATGTTGTCTCCTTTCCTGTGGGTCTTTATCTTCATTTTTGTGTCTCTTGCTCTTCAGCACTTTAATCAGACCTGCTGCACTGGTTCTGCTTTAGCCCCTCCTCTATGAAGGGGTCGGGGTGACAAGCACAGACGTGGAATCCATAGAGCCTGAGATGGAATCCTGCTTCCACCCAATACTAGCTGTTAACTTTGGACAAGTTACTAAACCTCTGTGGCCCTCAGTTTCCCCATTTGATCAAGGAATCAATATTAGTGTCAAGTTGTAGGATTGTTGGAGGAGTGTGGATTGTACTCTACATATGCGTAGCACTGAGAACACAGCCTGGCATCATACTCGGGTTTTCTTATCATTAGTATGGAACGAATGCCTTGGACCTTGGAGAGGAAGGGTCATGCACAGGCCATCAGAGTGTGGATGGATGTCTTCCACATCTTTTAAAGCCAAACTGTGCCAAGATTGACAAAATAAAAGATTCAAATTTGGGATATTGTTATTATTGTACATACAGAAAGGGGGGAGTTCATGTTTCCAAGATTGTGCCTGATTGCCCCAGAAAGAAAACACTTGCATTGTGTGGTCATGATTGGGAACACATGTGAACCACACCCCACTTAGCTCAGCCCCTTCCCATCCTTGGTCTCTCTCTCTCTCCCTCTCTCCTTTCTCTCTCTCTCTCCCTCCCTCTCTCTCCCTCTCTCGCCTTTCTCTCCCTCCTCCCTCCCTCTCTCCCATTCTCTGTTCCTAATTAGCAAGAAACCAAGTAGAATTTGGCGTTTCCTTCCCAGCCTTGGTAGGGGAGACTGTAGTGGATTAATTACCTCAAGTAGTTCTGGCTTCCCTAAGGAACAATCAGGGATGGGGCACGGGGTCCAGTGGCTTAGGGAGGCATGACAAATTTAAATCTCTACTCGAAGGGAACAGACATTAATTTTAATAGGAGGCAGTGTGGTCTGAAGTTTCGTGGAGGAGGAGAAGTAATCAAAAGTTATGTTTTCTGTCTTAGCTCAACCACAAACTTCTTGTGAGACTTGGCTGTGTTGTAGAATTTAGCTTGTGGGGGAAATAAATCTACCTTTCAGCCAGGGAGTGCTGATGGCGGGCAGAGACAACAGCAAACAGTTAATGAGTTTGTTTTGTACAGTAAGCATTGGTGCTGACTGTTTTGATATGCACTTAGATTAAATATAGTCTAATATATATGCATATTTAAAACCAATTTAAATATAGTCAAGGTAACAATATTTACTATGTTTATATTATATGTATAAATTAGATATAGTTGAATTAAACATACTTTACATAAAATCCTCACTGCAGGGCTGCTACTATCCTTATCTTATAGAGGAGAAAACAGAATCAGAAAATGTACATGGTTTGCCTAAGGACCAAGATTTGTATGATTTCATCTCAAGACCAAGATCTTAACTGTTCTATCTTATTGCATATTAATGCAGGGTGGTGCAGTTATAATTTTTAGACATTCTTAAGAAAATAAATCAAGAGTTGCCTTTGAAGGGTTAATGAGGTGATTCAGTTGGCTGAAGGGGCCATTCCTCAAACACTCTAATTACTGTGTGTTACTCTACTCATTTACTTTGGAGAAGATTATAATTTGGCTTTTAGCTTTTAATGCATCTAACCTTAAGGAAACTTTCAGAAATAGCGGGTTGCTCCCACCACTATGAATATAATATTTATCCTAGAAGAAGTATCTAAGATCAATACCTGGAGCAGAGTCTGAGCAAGAGGCTGGCTGAAATTAGGAAGCTGGTTGTACGGAGGGGTGAGAACAGGCAGTTCCATGAGCATCCTCCGAGAGCCTTTCGGAATTGAAGAAGAACCTTAGTCCCTACGGCAAAGCAGAGTGGGAAGCCAGAGACAGGCCGTCCAGAGGAGGGAACCATGGAAGGGTTGGCTTGGATGTTGAATACATCAGTGATTCCTTTGATCCTAGGGTCACTTCTGATTGGTTCAACCTTGCAACAAGTCCACTGCACCACCCCTGCCAAGGGCTTCATTTGGGAGAACATGGCAGTGGTATATCTGTGACATCACTATGGAGACCAGCCCTGCACTTAATGACCTGTGGCCAGACTCACAGCCTCCTTAACCCCTTTTCTGAGGACGACTCCCAGTTCTCCCTTCCTCCAGAGCCTTGAAATAAGAATATTGTATGGAGCCTCCCTTTTCCTCATCCCGCCCACTCATACGCTGGGGAGAACTCACCAGAACGTTGTTAAAGGATAAGGAATTCCCTCGGGACTCCCAGAGAAACAAGGTAATTTCTTTACTCGTGGATATTGCACACCCCCATTAAACAGCAGTGAGAACCCCAGAGAAGAAAGTGTACTTAACAGTCTAAAACACGGCTCCAAACGGAGGAGAAGGCAGGCTTGTTTCAATCATCTGCCCTTGTTCTATAATAAAAATGTATTTTTTTCCCTGAGAACAATTTAGTGTGGCCAATAAAAGCCCAGCTAATTTCTAAATCAGCATGGAGCCAAGTCAGCCACCCAGGAGCTCTCTCCTAGGGCAATATTTCTGAGGCGCACACAATCTATACTAAAGCGATCAACTTCCCTCCGCCCTGCCAAGGGGATGCGTTAGCAAAGCCCAAAATATGACAAGAGGAAATTTATGTGCAACTTTTACACATAATATCTCATTATGACTCTTCCCAATCTTTCAATTTTAAAAATAAACGGCCTTTGTAATGATTTTACCAGGAGAACATCTAAAGTAAGATTAAAAAGGAAGGAGGAGAGCGGTTCAGCTGCTGGAATTTCTTCCTTTACTCGGAGTCTCCCTTTGTGGAAACTCGCTCGCTCTCCTCCTTTCTTTGTTCCTCCGACCCTACCTTCTTCCCTCTTTTCCTTCTGGTCTCCCATCTTCCACTTCCTTTCCCTCCCTCTCTCCTCCCTTCCTCTGTTCCCTTCCCTTCCTTTCCTCCCCTCCATCCCTCCATCCCTTCTTGCCCACGTATTTAAAGAGACATCAAACATTTACGGTTTTACATTTCACCAAACAGAACAAGATCTCTGTGAGAAGCAAACCCAGTTCTGATGACCTGTCACGTGATGAAGGTCTCCACTTCGTGTTGGGCATCCCTTGCTCCGGGATTCTGGGGTTAATTTGTTATCACAATGCCGAACTCTCCTGCCCTCTCCCACTCTCATCACTAGCCAAACGGTTGAAGGCAGAGTCACAGTGGGAGATCCCGTGGGTCTCCTGGTGTCACCCACCCCCATGTGTTGTGCTCTGCTCATCCTGGACCCACAATTCCTCCTCTTATCTTGTAGGGAAGCCAGCAGAACATGCAGAAATGAATGCTGGTCACTGTGTGGGGTTCAACTCTTTGGAAAGACCCAACATTTCTTCCCTTGGTATTGGTGTGAGGCTTTATGACTTCTCCATTTTTTTTTTTTTTATTTTGTGGAGGTATCCAGCTGAGGGACTCTCCTCTCCCTGTACATTGTATTTCCCCCTTCTGCCTGGTGCCCCATCTCCTGGGACCTGTGTCCTGGGACAAAGCTGCCCCTGGCAATGTTCAGTTTCTCTTAACAGCGTGGCTCCGGAGCTGTTTGTTTATATTCATTAACTCATCTGTTCAAGAGATATGTGTAGGAAGTAGACTCTATCTGGACTTGGAATTCATAGATGCTGAAAGAGTATAGCTGTCCTTGAATGATTTGTGGTCTCTCTGGGGAGATATAATTAAAGCCATTTTATCATATAGGTGCCAGAAGGCAGAGTAGACCATAGAGGCAAGTGTGATGGGTTGTGCTTGGGAGTGTCAGGCCAGCCTTGGTTAACACATGATTTGCTTTGAAATGAAACCCAAGGTCTAGGGCCTTCTCAGACATGTCTAAGGAAAGAGCACTGACATGAGTATGCCAGCGGCATGCCTACTTAGCATACGCCTGGGTTTCAGTCTGACCTGGACTTTGGTTAGATGGGGGTCCTACTACAATCTGGCAACTCCTGTTCTCCCAGGCATCTGAGAAGGACATGCATCTTTGAGAGCACCTCAGACATCGAGCTGTTCCTTTCAAATCAGAGATGGATCCTGAGACAGGGATGCTGTGACTTCATCCTTGACTTAGAATTGAAGGGACTTTGTTGAGGCCACAAGAAAAATCAGGGTTAGGAGAATGGACAACGGATATTGATCTGAGCCCTGATGGAGACCCTAAAGCTCTAAAAATTACAGCTCCTCATTCCCTCCACAGTTCTGCGTCCTCCTTGCTGTCAGTGAACATATTAGCTGTAACTTAGTGAGCAAACATCACGCATAGAGTATTGTCACCACGGTACTCAGGGGCCTGACTTCATATAACCCCCATATCTTCTGGGAGGGAGACCTTCTCACTTCCATGATGCAAATGAGGAAATTGAGGTTTGCAGATGCTCAGGGACTTGGCCATGACCCATAGTAGTTAGTTTCAGGGTTAGAATTCAAATGCAGGGCTGCTGCAGGCCAGTCTTCTCAAACCTGCTTGTCTCTGTCTGCTGTATCCAAGCAGTTTACTTCTGGGCCGTTCTTTTTATTACCTGTGTAATTACCTGTTCTAGCCTGAGTTCTGTTTCCCACCAGATCCTCTGAAGCTGTCCCTACGCAGTGCCGTTCCCCTTCTGTTAACTCTCTTCAAGAACACATGTTGATTAAGTACTGCATACTAGGCTCTGGGTTAGGTGTGTCCACACATGAATTTACTTGAGTCCTCACACTGGATTTATAAGTATATCTGGAGGCATGCATCCAACCCTATTACACAAAAGTGGAGACTGCAATTCGGAGTTCACCTAACGTGTCACTTATCACACACTGTAAAGATGAGTGCAAGACTCAGGTCCAGATCTGCCTTACTCCTCCAGATGAAACTCACTGTCTTCCTTTCTGTACTCCTCTGTCAGGTGCGACCCGATTCATCATCTTCATGGTGCCTGGCATTCAGACCCTGAAGAGATGCTTCTGAACAACCAATGAAAGAATGAACATGTGTATGCTAGGAAAGATCTGTAACAATACAAAAGCTATAGATGCCACAATCAGTATTTCTGGGGCTCATATCCAGGATCTTCCACTTAGGAATCACTTAGGGCCCATCATTGCACTTTGATATCCATTTCCTAATTTAAACCTCCCAACCATCCTTCCAATATAGAAGTGAGATGCTCATGTACATAGAAATGGAATCAGAAAGAACAAACTTGATCTGTCTAAGATCACACAGCTAGTGAGTGTCTGGCCAAGATGCATTTTTTTTTAATAGAATCCAAATCTGGTGCTTTCCTAGTCACAGAATTAGAAATGTTTGTTTTCTTCACGAAACTCAGTGCAAGGGCCTGGGGTCAGAATTCAGGATCTGGGTGAGACTTAGGAGAGAGTGAACTGCAATGAGGGTAGGTCCTTGGTGCCAGAAGCAGGCAAACTTCAGCATCCATCATCCGGGTATGAAGTGCCAAACTTTACTTCCCCATCTTTCTAAAATTGAATGACAAAGTCACGATCCTTTTCTCTTTAAAAACATACTTTATGTGAAAAAAAAAAAAAAAAACTCAGAGAGAAGGAGTTAACTGTCTCTTTTCTTTTTTTCCCCCCAACGTGTAAACAGGGTGTTTTTTTTCTCTCCTTAAGTGATAAATTGGAGTCTAAAACATGAAGTGGAGAACATTATGTAGAAAGTGCTTATTTTCTTCTGATGTTTGATAGGAATTAGAATTGGCAAAACCCAAATTCTGTTTCCCTTTTCATGCAGATTGTCATTTTTGTCAAACAAGAAGCTGATTAAGTTTCAATCAAATGAACAAAAGGCTCCACAACAATTCTTCTTGGAAAAGCAGTGGCTTCCGAGATTAACCCTTGGAAACTAAAGACTCTGTGTCTTAACTCTCAGGGTGGTGTAACCTTTCTATTTAAATGGTGAATGTTAGGAACATGATGACCAACCTCCTTTGACCCAACCCCTGACAGCTGAGAGAACATTTTTAGCTATTGACATGAAACTCTCTGAGTATTCATCATACACACTGTAGATTGCTTTCTTGTGGGTGTATCTCAAGCCAGTGGATGTATTTCAAGCCAGTCATTATAAATGGACACAGGAAGAGATCTATTCAGCAAACAGAATGAGCAAAAGGCAGAAAATTGTGGTGTATTTTCAAGTGGACATACATTATTCCATTCTCTCTATCCATGGCCCTGGGTAGTGTCTTTCCACACTGTCTCTGAATTACCCTGATGACTTGCTTTGGCCAATGAGACCTAAGCAGATGCTCAGAAAGTGAATGCATATTGAGCTCACCCTCTCTGGCCAGCATTGTGTAAATGAGCCAGAGAAAGGCTATTGGGTGATGAGAGACACATGGTTAAATCATTCCCATCGCCCCAGATGACTTTGCGTCAACCACTAGATGTCTGAGTGACGTCATTCTAGACCACCCAGCCTCAGTCACGCCAACACCCTACCAGAAGGACCCCCTGCCTCCTCCAGCCAGAGAATCATGCATCTCATGAAACTCAGAGAATCATGAGAAGTAATAAATGTTTATAGTTATAGAGGTTTGGATGTAGGCTATTATGCACCAAAACTAACCAGTCCAATGATCTCTGCTCTGCAGATTCCAGCCTCATTCTGTTGAGTGGGACAGAACGAGGGTCTAATCAGAATTTGGAGTGCTGTTTCCGAGATATGCCATTAGAAGCTTTGGGGCATAGAGTCTGTGTTTAGTTAGTTCAGTAAGTTAACCTCTTTGTTTACAAGCCTTGTCTTTCTGCAACCCACATGTGGTTTTGACCTAAGATTTAAATTCTCCATCACTAGCTATTAAAGCCTCCCCTTTTCAGATCTAGTCTAGTTGCTACTTTTTTTTTTTTTACTATAACTTATCCAGTTTTCAAACTGGTGCTGTAAAGTATAAGAGTTTCTGTCTGCTAAGTGGGGTAGAAGAATGAGGGTACCCAAGTCCCCTCTGTCTTGGGTTTCTCATAATCGTGTCCCTTGTCACCCTTCTTCAGTACTTCTGTTTTCCTCTCTTCCAAGAGAAATCTGCTTGGAGATTCATACTGAATTAGGTAGAAGGAGCTGAAGATTCCAGTCCTGGTGGACTCCATCTTTCATGATCATCTTAGGCCTTCTTTCTGGGTACATTAACCCACTGTCTGGAGCCACAAGAAACCTGAGTTATGAGAGATCCTCCTTATACAGACTTGCGTGAACAACCAATCTAACTGGTGGTATCTAATTCTGCCTTCACTTCATGGGACCTAGAAATCATCATAGCCAAGTGTGTTGTCTTGGGATTGAACCAACTTTCATTGCAGAGTCATTCCCTGGTGTTGGAAAGTCCCCAAAGATCAAGCATTCAAACAGACCAAGAAAATCACCCAAACCACACAGCTTTGAGAGTACTGTCAGCCCCAGAAATGTCCTGCATTTTCTGTGAAATGAGGAGAGGCTCCAAGCCTCAGTGCCAAACCAGATCCGCCCATTTTTGTATATTCACTGGGAGAAGCCAACACTCGTGTTTTCCTGCTGCTGGTCAGGCCTGCCCATGTCTGGCCTTGCTACAGCTTGCCTCCTTTAATTCAGTCAGAGAACTACTCCAGCTCATAGCCCCACTTCATTTCTGGCTTCATTATTTTTTTAAAAAAAGAGAAAGTCAAATAAACGTAACCTGAGGTTTCTCAGGGGATGCTTTATATTCTTGTTATTGTAAAGCACAGAGTGTGCCAGTAACAACATGGGAAGGACACTAGAATCATAATAGAATGAATGATACCTACTTAGTAGTCTAATGGAGAGGAGACATAGTGGCATTCTGCAAATATCCTTGACTTCAAGAATGCATTTCTATGGCAGAGGAAGAAAATTTAAGAATTCCAGTTTTGTTATGGGTATGCCATAGTATTGCTAGTTGTCCATAACATAAGTATTTTGGAAATGTCTGGAGAAAGAGGACACCCAGGGCCTGGCCCCAGACATCCAAGGCATCAGGTTTTTTTTTTTTTTTTTTTTTTTTGACAGGCAGAGTGGACAGAGAGAGAGAGACAGAGAGAAAGGTCTTCCTTTGCCGTTGGTTCACCCTCCAATGGCCGCTGCGGCCGGTGTGCTGCGGCCGGCGCACCATGCTGATCCGATGGCAGGAGCCAGGTACTTATCCTGGTCTCCCATGGGGTGCAGGGCCCAAGGACTTGGGCCATCCTCCATTGCACTCCCTGGCCACAGCAGAGAGCTGGCCTGGAAGAGGGGCAACCGGGACAGAATCCTGAGCCCCGACCAGGACTAGAACCCAGTGTGCCAGCGGCGCAAGGCGGAGGATTAGCCTATTGAGCCACGGCACAGGCCAGCATCAGGTCTTAAGATTGGGACAACTTGGGAAGACTCACATTTGTCAAAGTTATTTTAATTCTTCTCTTCCATCATTTCTCAAGAAGGTTGTATCTTGAGCCCTGAAACCAGATTGGCTTTAGGTGATAAAGCCATTGGAGGTTAAGGCTGTGAGTGAAAAGTGTTCTGTGTACTTCTGGAGAAAAGTTATTTATTTGTTTTCTTTTTAAAAATACCTCCTATCTTTTGTTTTCGCTTTTGCTGAGCTTGTCCTCAACTTAGAGTATGGGGCATGTTATCTCATCTTAGAACACAGATGATTATATTCTCAAGAGTAGAATATGATAGAATCTCTTAGGACCACTCAGCTCTGCTTCTTACCTTTACACACACACACACACATACACATATACATATACACACATGCGCACATACAACTGTCCCATATATGTGCATGGACATAAAACCAGTATTAACAGACATCACCATATCATTTTCTCAGTGCCAGTCACTCTTCCAAAGTCTTTACATATACGGACTAATTCAATCATAATCATCACAACAACCCCATAGCCTGTTTTATAGATGGTAAGCCGATGTTTGGTGACTTCACAAACTTGCCCACTGTTGCACACTGGCAAGGGGCAGAGTCAGTGTTTGAATTCAGGTTGTTGGCTGCAGAGTCTGGGCTTTTAAATTCTGCATTTACTGCCTCATTCTAATTAGAACAGCACTTTCTGCCATTCCATTGTACGTCCTCTGTTATTGCCTATGACAAAGACCTCTCCTACTGTGCATGCAGGGGACACTCTTTGTCCGACGGATTCTTAGCACAGAACTGGTGGGTCTGAGAACAGGGGGCCTCTCTTCTCCTGTGTAACTTGGTTCCTGCAGTCAGGGTGCCATTTAGTGCCCCACTGTAGATTTCAGGTGGGGTAGAACAGTAACTCCTGCCCTTTTACTCGTGAAGAACACAGCTGTGGAGACAGTGATTGTTCAGGGCCACACAGGCCCATGGCATCCTTGCTTGGAGGAGTCTGGTTTTGTGTTAAGGACTTCTTTCTCATGTTCATAAGTGATTACATTAACACATCACAGGCACTCCGTGTTTAGCTTGCTTTCAGTTCTTGCATACCTTAGTTTTCTGGTCTTTGATTCTTTACGCACCATCTCTCACGCTCCTGCATCTCCTGACGTGGAGACATTTGTTACAGCATGTATTTCTCCTGTTCTTGCAATTCCATGATACTCAGGTTTAACCCTGGCTGGCCTTTGGTTTATGGCACTGAATATGTACTGGATTTAATCAATTTGAATTAAACTACATTTAACCAAAGCAACTTAGATTTCACATGTAAATAAATGAGAAAACCAGTCTTAAGGGAAAAGAGCTTCCCCCACACCAGTGAGCTTTTGTCCGTGCCAGTTACTCCGAGGACCAGTCGTGTGTATTCACGAAAGCGTGTTTGTATGTGCTGTGTAGGCGCTGCACACAGGCCTTGATTTTGTGTCTGAAGTCTGATGCTACTGTCCAGCATCTGTTTTCTCATTCTTTCTTCTTCCTCAATACTCTCTCTGTTTTTCTTTATGGCTGCCGTGCATCTAATACCAGTCAATGGGTTACTGTTGATCTAATACAGTGGTTCTCATCCAGGGGAAATTTCACGCCCAAGAGATATTTGGCAGTTATTGGAGACATTTTAACGGTCACACCAGGGCAGGGCTGTGCTATGGAAATCTCGTAGGTGTCCTTCAGGGGTGCTCCTAAGTACCCTACAACTCATAGGAATGATCTCTACTTCAAAGAATCACCCAGCGCCAAGAGCAATGGTGCTGAGGCTGAGGAAGCCTAGCCCAAGACTATCACAACAATTTTGTTTTATCATTTTGCAGGTTCCTTGTCAGCTGGAGTAGCCGTATGACCTGTTCTAACGAATAAGACTTAAACCGAAGACATTTGTTGATAGAAAAATCAAATTTGGGTGTGTTTGTGTTTCTGGTAAAAGAGAATAAACGGGACTGAGAGCACCTCTTCCTTTTCCATCTCACCTCAAAGCTGAAACTTAATTTTTTTAAAGATTAATTTGTTTATTGGAAAGTCAGAGTTACACAGAGAGAGAAGAAGCAGAGAGAGAGAGAGGTCTTCCATCCACTGTTTCACTCCCCAGTTGGCCGCAACAGCTGGAGCTGCGCCAATCGAAGCCAGGAGCCAGGAGCCTCCTTTAAGTTCTCTGTATAGCAGTCACTACAGGAGAGGTATTTGTGTTGTGTGTTTGATATGTGATAATTCTGTCTCACCTCCGGGTATATATGCTCTGAGAGAGCAGGGACTCTGCCTCAACCCGGTGTCTCCGTAGCCAATGTTGAATGAGCACTTGCTGAATGGACAAACGGACCTGAATGAATAGCATCTTTCACTGAAGGGGGGGAGGAACCATTCTTCTCCAATGCAGAAAAATCAGCCAACCATATCCACAGTTTCCCCTACCCTATGTTACACTAAAACATGTTACAGAAAACCCCTCTCGTGTGCTATTTGATTAAGTTAATAGAAGATGGAGCAGAGAGTCAGACACTGTCTTCAGCAGATTGGGGAGGGAAATTTGACAAGAATAGTGAGGAGGCCGGCGCCGTGGCTCACTAGGCTAATCCTCCGCCTTGCAGCGCCGGCACATAGGGTTCTAGTCCTGGTCGGGGCGCCGGATTCCGTCCTGGTTGGCCCTTTCCAGGCCAGCTCTCTGCTGTGGCCCGAGAGTGCAGTGGAGGATGGCCCAAGTCCTTGGGCCCTGCACCCCATGGGGGACCAGGATAAGTACCTGGCTCCTGCCATTAGATCAGCGCGGTGCGCCGGCCGCAGCGCGCCGGCGGTGGCGGCCATTGGAGGGTGAACCAACGGCAAAGGAAGACCTTTCTCTCTGTCTCTCTCTCTCTCACTGTCCACTCTGCCTGTCAAAAAATTTAAAAAAAAAAGAGTAGTGAGGAACAAATATGGAGACATTGCATACTTGCTGATTTTCACAGCTATTCCTGATCCATGCAGCTCTGATGCCCAATTAGGAGGTAATTGGGAGCATCTGTTTTTCATGGAGTCTCATGAGGCTGATGCACATCCTTCCTTCCTCAACCTGTCCAGGCCACAGTTTTTATGGCACCTTCTAAGAAGATCATTTAGACTCTCCCGTCGCTACCCTGCCCTGCCAGCACAAGGTTGTGGTTAGACCTGGTGTGAAACAGCAGCAGACAAACCAGCATCAATCTGCCTTCTGAGGCCTCTGTAGTAGCTGTGGTTCCTTTGCTTCTGCCCCGTGCAGGACAATAATCTGGGTGTTTCATTATAACTAATACAAACCAAAGCAGATATTTTTATTACCCTCTTTCAGCAATTCAGCTTTTTTTTTAAAAAGCTCCTCCACATTCTATCTTGAATGATATGTATACTCTTGCAATTTTTTAAGATTTATATATTTATTTGAAAGTCAGTTACATAGAGAGAGAGGGAGAGGCAGAGAGAGAGAGAGGTCTTCCATCCTCTGGTTCACTCCCCAATTGGCCACAACAGCCAGAGCTGCGCCGACCCAAAGCCAGGAGCCAGGAGCTTCTTCCAGGCCTCCCATGTGGGTGCAGGGGCCCAAGGACTTGGGCCATCTTTCACTGCTTTCCCAGGCCATAGCAGAGAGCTGGATGGGAAGTAGAGCAGCCGGGACTCGAACCAGCACCCATATGGAATTCCAACACTGCAGGTAGAGGCTTTACCCGCTACACTACAGTGCTGGCCTCGGCCCTGGCAACTTTAAAATTGCAATTTCTCCCAAGCTAACGTCACGCGGAGCAGGTGACCAGATGCTGGAGTTTTGCAGAATGCAGTGTCTGGAGCCAGACTGCCAAAGTTTAAACTTTACTAGTAAAAATTGGGCAAGCCTCTAATTTCCCACGTCTCAGTTTTCTATACAGATCTCGTGCTGGCAGCTGGGGGTGACGTAAGGATTCCATGAACAAACATGTGCAAAGCACTTTGCCTAGTGACTGCCATAGTGCAAGCACTTAGAACCTTATGTATCTATTTAAATAATTCTAAGTGGGCGAACGACTAGGTTCAGATTTGCTTTACTTTTTCTCCACTGAAAGAGCAGCAACCTTATCCCATCCTTGGAGCATCAATTACTGAACACTGTCACAGGGGATTTCCTTTCGTAGGGTGGGTTCCACAACACTCCTATCCAGGTCTTTCAACAAAGCTCATTGCCACATCCTTGGGCAGATGAGTGAAACTCTAGCAGGCCCTCCTACCCAACAGTGCCAGCAAGCAGCAAGCAGCCGAGCCCTGCAGGAAGTAAACAAGTTCCACCCACTCCAACTTCCCTCTGTTGGACATCTGGGGACTCACAGCTACCCCCAGATGAACACTCTCATCCCACACAGGGGTCAACTGACAGCAAAAACCACTGCTATAAAGGATGATGTATTTGCTGCAGACAAAACATGATTGAGGCCAAGGCACCAACTTTGCAGGATGGTTCTAGAAATCTCATTGCATGGAGCCCTTGGGAGAAACCAGTGTCTTCCTCAAGGGAAAAGACGGCAAATTGTATCATTTCGATTCACACCCATGAGTGATGCTTCTGCAGCTGTTTGAATTAATTTGAAATACCAGCAATCTCAGTAGGAGTCTGTATTTTCATAAAACAATTCCCTGCTGAGCTGGTTCAGCCAGCTCCACCCCAGCCCTTCCACACACCTCGGTGATGAGGACATTTGCAAGATAGAACTATGTTTGCTTATTAAAGAGTTCATGGAGTCTTGTAATAACCAACTCTTCTCAAAGCTAAAGAGCATCTCTGGGTCTCCTTTCAACACACACACACACACCACACACACACATACAAATACACACTCCTAATAAAAAATAGTGCTCTATAATGTCATAGTTGACATTGGAAAATGATAGGCACTGCATATCGAATATCACCATCCCGGCCCCAACTGGATGAAGTTCCTCATCTGTTAATTCCTGTTTCCAAACATGTTCGTCGGAAACTCTTTAACTTGAAGTCTGCTTCTCCCATCCCCGACAGTGCCCCCCACCCCAGGGTCCCAACACATGTGTAGCAGATGCATCGGGCTTTCACTAAGGCACCTTTCTGCCCTCAAGTATCCTTAATTGCAGAACCCCAGCTCGGCCCCTGACTCCTTCGTATGCTCTTAGGACCTTTCTGGAGGGACCAGAACGCTGTCCTCTCACATTTTGTTTTTGTTTGGAGAGGAAGTAGAATCTTCACTCTGCTACATCCCCACAGTGGGAGCAGGCTGGGAGGGCTGAGAGAATGAGGAAGGAGCGCTGTGGTCTCTCTTGCACACACATGCTCTCATATTTAATAGCAGAAACACATTTAGAGGTGATAACAGAAAACTTCGTAGTCATTCAAAAAGTAAGAGCCCACGTCTATGCAATTTTGTGGAAGTGTGTGACAGTGATTGAGATAAGTTGTTACTGGATTTGATTTCCCAGCTCCAACACAGAAAGGCTGAGATTCTTCTAGTTCTTTGGGCCTTTTTCTCATGGTCACAGAATGAATACTAAAGTTTCAGCTTTGGGACCAGTGCTGTGGCCTAGCAGGTAAAGTCGCCGCCTGCAGTGTCTGCATTCCATATGGGCACTGGTTTGAGTCCTGGCTGCTCCACGTCCGACCCAGCTGGTAATGAAGTTAGATTGTGTGATCAGGAGAGGCCTCTCAGAGAGATTTGCAGCAAAGATCTCATGACATGACGTGAAAGTTGTGTGAAGAACAGAGCGAAATGTATTTTAGGGGTGACAGTTGCTTGCACAAAAGCTCCAAGGTGGACCCAACCAAATAGGTTTAAAGCATAAAAAGAAAACCAGAAGTCAGCAGTATTTGGGGCCAAGATGGAGCACTGAAATGCTAGAGCTGCGCTGATCCGAAGCCAGGAGCCAGGTGCCTCGTCTGGGTCTCCCACGTGGGTGCAGGGGCCCAAGGACTCTTCTACTGCTTTCTCAGGCCATAGCAGAGAGTTGGATCGGAATTGGAGCAGCTGGGACTAGACCCAGTGTGCATGTGGGATGCTGGTGCTGTAGGTAGAGTCTTTCCCTGCTACACTACAGCGCCAGCCCCAGAACTAAGATTTTAAAGTCCATCTGAAGAAGCTGGCTTTGTTCTTGGCCTGATTGCATACCAATGGAGGGTGTCAGCTGAGAGTAACATGATCTGATTAATGTCTCATAAAAACCACAGTGTCTGGGGCATGCATGTGGGATTGTGAATGGAGCAGGGGCCAGGTGGTTGGAGGAATTGGTGAGAGTGGCAGCATAGGTTTGTGTAGGTCTATAGAATTTAGACATGTTTCATGCTTCTCCATGCTGCCACATCTCTAAATCATGGAGAAGCATAAAACAAAAGAGGGATGGAGGGTGTGTTATGTACATAGTGGTGGAAATGTGAACTCTTGTTCATTCTTTCCTTCTCTCAACAAAAATGTATTGAGCACCTGACTTCCTACGCACCTGGAATGCAAATAGCAGTGAGTTAAAATCCCTGACCTCACGGAACCCAAAACCCTAGTGGGGAAGAAGTAGATACAAACAAATAATTAGAATACATATTAATAAATAGTGTAATTAAGGGGTGTGCACGAGGCCGGGAGAGTTCAAAGGAAAGACAGATTAACTCTATTTTAAAATTAAATAATGTCAGTCTTTTGATAGACATTATTTTTATTGCATCCTATCCATTAGTCCATTGGGTTAGATTAATATGAAAAGGACCAATAAAATTCATGTCAGTCAAATGTTTGGGTTCATATTCTGTATGTAAACTGTTTGACAGCTCTGCACTAATCGCTTCTATTTCTCCACATCTGTAAAACAGCTGGTATCATGACCACCTCCAGCTTTGACCCTGGAGGTGGTCTTCAGTGGTCATAGCCTGGCCTCACCCTCTCATGACCACTGGGGTGAAGTAGGGAGCTTGTGGGGCTCAGTGGAGTACAGGTGATGCTGATTCTCATGGGCCACAGATGATGAGAAACAGATTGCACTCCTTCAAAAATTCACTGCAATTAATTTTATTAAATATATCCTAACAAACGCAAAATTTATGGAATGCATTTCTGTGATTTTTAGAAAACATGAAAATGTTTTACCACAAACAAAAGGAAGATACAGGACAGCAATACCAACTCCTCAAAATCTACCCCCACCTCTAATGCATGATAGTTTCTGATCTGTTTTCTCCTGCTAGTTTTTACCTTTTCCAGATGTCATTTAATAGACTCGTAGAAGACTTCACTTGGCATCGTGAATCTGAGGCCCCATCAGTTACCGCATGCATTGGTCATCAGCTTCTTCTTACTGCTGAATACTATTCCCTGTATGAAGATGACAGTTGGTGGCTCAGTTCTGCTGTTTAAAGACACCTGGGTTGTTCCCAGCTTCTGGTGGTTATGAATGAAGCCACTGGAACAATCACAGGTTTTGTTGTGTTTGATTGTTTGTTTTTGATAAACCTGAGGTTCATTTCTCTTGAACCAATGAAGGAAATTTCTGGGTCATATGGCATGTGCATGTTTAACTTCAAAGAAATATAATATTTTTTTCTAAAAAACTGTAATATTTTGCATTT